AAATAAGAGAGGGAGAAATCGTGTAGATTAGTTTTAGAACTTTATATAGGTTCTAACACTCACACTTAAATCATGATTTCCAAAATTGATTTTCAACAATACCATATTTATATTTATTTGCTTGTCCATTGAATACCAGTAAATGGTACATAATTGTTCTCAGAGTGTATCCCTGTATACGTATCAGCTACATAAAAGTTTGTGCAAAGATGGTACTAATCAGTAGAAACCATTTGTTAACCAAAAAAAAAAAAAAATGGATCATAAAATTTTAAAAACTTGAGAGAAAAGTATATGAATGTGGGGACAAACCCTATGCACATAACTGTATGTACACTGTTTGGTAAGGACCAAAAGTTACTTTGCGTTCAGTTGCTTTATTGGAAATGTAAATAGACCCCACAATGTTTGCCCATCTCTCTCTTTCTCTCTTTCCTCGAGTATATAGAACCCACATGGGCAATTATTGAGAGTTGGACTCCAGGTTCTTTGATTCTTCAATTTTCAAAAAATTTCAGTGAATTTCTCCCAAATTGCCAAGCAAAATTTACTGTCATGAAATGAGCAGATATGAAAGGGTGTCATCAGCTTTTTAAAACCTTGTGATTTTCAATTGGGACGGTTGATCCGGATTGGAATTAGTGAGGATCAGTTATCTTTTTTTAAAAAAAGCTTATTTGACATATTTTTAGGTCCATCTAAACCACCATCCCATAAACCGCTAGACCGAACTAATTGTCCTTTTTATTTTTTCAAAGCTTATCTGACATATTTTTAAATACCCTCTAAACTCCCCCCCCCCCCATAAAACTGTATTTTGATTTTTCTTTTGTTTAGTTTATTTTTTAGTATTTTTCTCGATCACTGATTCAGATCGATCCAGACCTTATCTGAATAGCCAATCTAACGATCCGTTATGGATTTGTGGATGAGCAATCTGCCCCACCAATACAAGTTTTGAAACACTGGGTATCATTGTGTTTCTTTTTTTTCTTCCCCATTGATTTTGAGGGCATTTTGGGGTGCTTAAAAAATAAGGGTTGTTCAGCATTTTCCAAAGTATCCCGGGCTATTTGATAAAAGTTTCTCTACCCCTATTGATAAATAGTATATATTGTTAAGCTCGAGGCAAAGAAGGGAAAGAAGGTTTTGAGAGATGGACAGTGGTGATATGAAGCATTTAGTTTTGGTGAAGTTCAAAGAGGGCATCTCTATTCAAGAAATTGTTGAAGGCATGGAAAGCCTGGCCTCTAAACTGGAATATGTGAAGGCTTTTGAATGGTGAACCAATTAACTTCTCTTGGCATTTTGACCAATGTTTTCT